GGTTGCTCTGTTAAAATTCACCCCAGAAAAGAGGCTAAAACTGCAACATCTCATGGCTTAAATGAGCTTTTATTTGTCAAACAAGCTTTCCAAAGTCTAAAGTGTTCAGGTTTTATGAAATGAGGAAAAACAAGAAAAGATCCCCTGTTTTTTGTAAAACTGGAAGTATTTCCTGTAAATGTCGACTGTATGTCCCAGCTGGACACAAACTTTCACTTGTTTGAGGCTGCAGCTGGATTGTTTGTCACGTTCCTGTTTTTTTGTTTTTGTCCAGCCTGCTGTGTACTCCCTCTGGTGCTGCCATTGTACAAGCCCTACTCCCCCTTACGCTTCTTCCTCATTAAACCAGCATCTGCTGAAATACGAGGCCTGAAACCCCCCACCATGCACACACACACTCCTCCTGTCCTTTGCAGACTCTTGTGCTTGCCATCTGCCACAAAGTTGGACATGACCCCACCAAGCAAGCCTGATTTAAAAGCCTCACAAATTTCAGAATAGATACATATGAATGCACACTAAGACTTAAACTTAGGTTAGCTAATGTAGCTTCAACAAGAAACTAAGATGAAAAGGAGGGCAGCCCCCAACCTGCTGCATCGAGGCTGCAAACTCCTCCTCTCCTCTGTGAGACTGAAGAGGAGGAGACATGCCGGACAGAGGAACCACAGCAAACTTTAAGTAATCCTCCGTGGCCCTCCGTTTCCTCCAGCGTTTCCTTTCAGCGAAACGGGAAAAGGAGCCGAGCAGAAAGGAGGCGAGGACGGTGGAGACAGAAAAAGACTCGTTGCTGATTGAACATGAAACATCTCCCCCCGTGGCTCTCCTTTTGTCTCCTCCCTTCTCCTCGTTGCTGCTTGTTGTACATAATGCCCTCTCGCTTTCACTGCATTTGCTCATCCCCCCCTTCAGTTCTCCACAGTGAATAATAATGTTTCCTTTTGGAGAGATGGAGGGAGAGGAGAAAGCCTAAGGCCACAAATTCTGATTGTCTAAGCAGACTCAAGACACTCTGCAGAGGAAAATCACTTTACAGGAAGGCAGGCGTGATTCCTCGTCATTTCTCAGCATCCTTTGAAGACAATTTTATGGAATTTTGAGAAATAAATCATTGGATGGACGTCGACAACTGATTATATTTTATAGTCAGTCCAAATCAGGATGGTTGTGACAGTCAGCTGACCTTAGAAGACACAAAAAATGGCTACAATTCAGCCAATTTTACACACAATGAGCTAAAATTAATGTAGTAGCAGATGTTATGCAACATATTTGCTTTCAATCCTGTTGAGGTCAACCATGTTTGTCTGTTAGCAAAATATCCAATCTACAACTGATCAACAGTGTCAGCACAATTCACCACATTTAACTGATGTTAGCCTAAATAAAAACGGCTACACCTCGGTGAATTTGACCGATACTGAGCTCAGATTTAGTGTGGCTCCCATTCGCAGCTCACAATGTGCTACCTAACAGATTACACGAGTTATTGCAAGATTGCGCAAGATTATGAAAAATGGTCATTTCAAGGTTGAACCCAAATGGTGACAAATCGGTTATTTTTCTAAATAAGATCGTCACATGTTCGATTCTAAAATTCTGGCGTGAAAACTAACTTTTAAGACATGCAAAGCTTTTTATTTATAATCATCTTTCAGCTTCCTCCATGTTGTAAACAACCTCAGCCTCGACCAAATGCGCGCAGAGAAGCAAACATCAGACCAAAGGGGACACCGCTCTTGTCTTACACAAACCATCCAGGCGAGTTGGCACCGTTTGACGTGCTCTCTGGGAATGCTCCCTGTAGCCCGCCACCCTGCCATCATCATCACCATCACCCAAACGAAGCCGGTGGAAGGGCAGAGCCACTTGAGGAGAGATCCCCTCCCAGACAAGCTAAAGCTGAAGAGACAGCTCGGCCCCGCTCCAGAGGCTCTGGCCATTTCAAACAAGGCTGCTCAGTTCGAGGCAGCCAGTCACATTATGTTTCTTTTTTATGTCCCTTTACTTCCTTTCTCATTTATTTATTTAGCTACTTTCCCCATCTAGGACTCCAACCATCATCAGTGTCAGGCTAAAGCTAACCCTCTGCAGTTTTCTGGTTTGATTGCAGAGCTCATGTTTGGTCAAATACTTAGAAAGTTTCTTTAGGTCAGATCCAGAAAGGCTAATAAACTTGTTTATAACCAAGAGCAGCATTATGGACCTGCAGTAATAGAAGCCGTTAAAGGCACATTATTTGGTTCACTGCGTCTTTCCGCTGCCTGTGCCAATGTTGGATGAAATGGGCCATTCTAATCCTCATTAATGACTAATTTCACATAAGACGAAGCTGATAGTGGGTGTAAGAATCATTCAAAGGTCACCCAACCAAGCTGCAAAATCAAAACAGAGATCGTTTGATTTATTTTAATGCTGTTTTAAGACGTTCAATCTTGATGAAAAGGCACTTATTATAATGTCACTCAGAATACTTAAAAAAAAAATAAACAAAATATGCACAGTTTGCTTTCCACGTGTGATAAATGTTCTTAAATAAAAAAAATTGTCAGTAAAATTTGTTAACAAACGCCATGTGTTTATCTAAAGAAACAGCCAAAGTGACTGAAAACAGCTCAATACTGGTGACATCCCAGAACATTTTAAGATTAAGAAGTCAGACGATTTTGATGTTTTGATGCATATTTACACCTTGACTTGTTGAGTAAAGTATCCACATACGTACACGTGCTGTGTTTACATTGAGTGCAAACCTGCATTTAAGAATCACATACTAATATATCTGGAAAATTACTGGAGTAAATTGTTTTAAACCGCATCATTCATTCAGGATAACCCGTTTTCTTTGTATAGTTTGCAATGGACGTCTTCAACGCATGGCTGCATACATGGACTATTCAAGCAAAGAGAAGTGTCGATTCTGAAGCAAACTGAACAGTTTGTCTGAGACAGCAAACAATTTTTGACGGCGCCGACGGGAGTGAAGCGCGAGTGAAATCAAGAGAAAAATAACAACCGGGAAAAGGTCTTTGAGGAGTCATTCTCAGCCATCAAATGCTGCTGTGTTACAGCTAACCTTCGGCTGGACGGATGGAAGTGTCAGAAGAAACGTGTAACGTGTTGCTCCTTGGACAGAAACAGACGTAAAGCCGTGCCACAGAAGGATGAGTGGACATGTCTGACATTAGAGGCAGGAAGACACTGACACGTGACTTTTAAAGGGGACAAGAATCCAAACACCCCCTCTGTTCAGGTCACTTGTGATGAGACCAAGTGTCAAGAAGAATACAGGTGGAAAAAAGGATGGAGGTGTATGTTTTAGATTTTAACAAAACATCTTAAATCAATGTATTTCACCTTCGTATACTTTTTCACTTCACTCTGAGACTTGAGGACTTTTCCAAAAGTCACACTAAAGTATTGACATGTCTACATTATATATTACTATTAGATATTTACATATCTGACCCATATCTATTACTGTCTGTAGAAACCAGAAAAATGTTTAATGTTTAAGGAAATCTGTCAAGACTGATCGAAATATTCATTTAAAAACCATTTTTCTATGCATATTTGTTACATTCGAGCATTGTCGCTGAAAAAATAAGTATTCAACAGACTCTGATGTCCAAATTTAGCCCAGACTTCAACGAGAGAAATGCCTGTTGAAATGCACACTCTAAAAACTGCTGGGTTATTTTGATATCTCGATCGCTGGGTGGAAGTTTTTGGTTATATATTGGGTTGGTTTGACAAACCTTTGAGTCTAAATGTTTGACCCAATGTTTGGACCTCTGCTTTAAAGTATAAGTGATGGCCAAAACATAAAAACCTGTTAAACCAGTTTAGATTTTATGTTTGCACTGGAAAGTGAGTTTGTGTTCTGAAACTTAAAATGGTACAATAGCTGGTGCCAGCTAGCTTCAACCCAAGTTGGAATACTTATCCACTGAGGCAGTTTTTAAGTTGTTCATAACGCAACTTTTAAGTAGATGTAATGCAACAGGTTAATAATTTTAACCCAATGTTTGCATAGAAAACTTATCCCAGTATATTGGGTGGAACTGAACTTCATGGATGGCTTGGTTCAAATAGGACCTAGCTCGGGGTTAAATGTTGTTTTTTTTAACCAGCCATTTTTAGAGATAGAGTGTTGACTTGCTTCTATTTAAGCAAAATAATTGGCAAATTATGGAAATCATAATAATGATACCAACATATAAAATCTGCTCCATTCTAAAACCTCAACCGTAACTTGATGGTGATTGAAGTAGTTTAGTCCAGCTACCTATTAAAGACTAAACAATTACTGACTTGCTTTAGACAACAGCTTAACTGTGAGAAACAAATCGTCCAATGAAGGAACTCACTCAGCCACTCGCCACCGAGCGGTGATGCTCGCCACAATAACGCTCTCCGGTCTCGGGGTGGCAACAGCCTTGAAGGTCCCTTTCCAAAACTTCTCAAACAGCTGCTTCTCCCCCAGCTTCAGGAGGCTGGTGCTGCTGCTCTGTGACCCCACAGATCCAACGGGATCACTGTGGCCAAACTGGAGGGGCTGCATTTGAGTTTTCTTTATGCTCTCCAAAGCAGATGTGTCAGTCCCTCAGCAGCTCTCATGAAAACACAGACTCCTTGTGTTTGTGGCTCAGGAACTGTCCAAGTACTGAATGAAAGCGAGCAGAGCGGGGCTGCTTTCTCCTCCTGTCCTCTCCCTGCTGGGTCAGTGTGTCAACACGTCTGTCCGGTCTCCACTTGAGCAGAAGGACAAAAGCCGAGCCTCTCCAGCTGGAGGCTGGGTATTGTTCTGGAGGATAAGGGCTGGGGAGGATTGTGTTTCTCTCTCCTCCTCGGTCACATCTGCTGCTCTTTGGGACGGGGTCTGGGTCGGGATCCTGGCGGCGGCTTCACACAGAGCCGAGCATCTGTCAGAGGGACTGAGTGGGTTTTCTGGTTGCAGTGTTTTGAGTGCAGAGAGGCTGAGCAGGTGTTGAGCCAAGTGGTGCGGCGTGCCTGAGGGCAGGTCTGAATGTGAGCTGAGGAGTGTGTGCACGGCGGAGTGTGAGGATGTTCAAGTGAGGAGCTCGGCTGAGAACGCCTTGTTTTGTCTCTTTGCGTCTGTGACGTCAAAACTGGGGGCTGGACCCTGAAGAGGGACACCTCTGTGTGTGTGTGTGTGTGTGTTTTTATTCAGCTTTGAATAGGTTCACTCTTCATCCTGACATGTAGCAGCATCACTGCCTCTTCTTTTACTCAACATGTTTTTAGATCATCAGTCGTTCCTTTTCATTCTTCTCTCCCTTTGTTTTTGACCACTCTTTTATTAATTACCTAAACTGAGCTTAAAATTTGGCGTGGTTATAGCTGAACGAGGTTCAAGCACACACTTTGAGAGAAACTAATTGTGCAATTTTTTTAATAAAACCTTCGTTTTGACTGAAGGAGTCAAACCTGTCTGTCGCAAAAGATCTCATGAAACCAGTGGACGGATTTCAACAACTCTCTCAGAATGGAAATCTTCTTTTGGCTTTGCAGAGAGTGGTGAAGGCTGCACAGAAGTCTGCTGGAGTCAGCCTCCCCACCATCACAGACATCTACACCTCCAGATGCAGGAAGAGGGCCACCTGCATCATGAAGGGCCTCACTCACCCAGCACACACACTTTTTGCCCTGCTCCCCTCAGGCAGGAGGTTAAGGAGCATTAAGTGTAGAACCACTAGACTGAGGAACAGCTTCTACCCTGAGGCTGTTAGACTCATGAATCTCTAACCAGAATAATCACTGTGAAAAATCACATCATGTTGCTGCTGATCTGTTTCATGCTGCTGCTGATCTGTTTCATGCTGCTTAGTTCATTCGTGCTCATCTACTCACACAGACTTATGTTCGTGCTGCTGTTCGGCGTATTGTTTTTATACTAATAGTGCTTAGTGTGTTTTTAGTTCATGTTTTCTTAGTTCATATCTTAGATCTTATTAATGTTCCATCCATCCATCCATTTTCTTTACCCGCTTATTCCATTTTGGGTCACGGGGGTCGCCGGTGCCCATGTCCAGCAATCACTGTGCGAGGGGCGGGGTACACCCTGGACGGGTCGCACGTCCATCACAGGGCCCTCCTTGGTTTCCCGAGACTGTAAATCTGAAACAAAGTCACGGAACAGCCTGTTCGCTTTTAAAAACCCGTTTAAAATTCATCACGTTCTTTTATTACAGCTATGATGTAATGCGCTTCCTGAGATCTTAATTGGCCACTCACTAACTTTAATTATCCGTACAAAGATTAATAAAACAATCATGGAGAGTATTGTTGTTGTTGTTGTTCCAAGCTGATTTGCGCTGTTTCAAACTGTGTCAGACACTCCATCAGCGTCGGAAACAAAAGAGTCGTGTCGATCAGCATAACAAAAGGTCCGGCTCAGTGAGGACCAGCTGGAGCATGCGGCTGACAGAGACCCCCCCTCGAGGGGGCAACAGGTTTTATTTCCCAACTGTCAAATACTTCCTTGTTTTCTCTTCCATCTGTTTTGTCACAGCACAGGAGCTCGACGATTCCCTCCCTAACCCTTCCCCTCTTCTTCTCTCCTCCTGCGCTCATCCTGTCTTCAGTGCTGCTTCTGCAATGTGGGTGATGTGAAAATCTTACGTGGGATTGGTTACCACCACAAGGACTTCTGCTCGTTTAGGTTATCAAAGAAATGTTATAATATTATTATTATTATTATTAAATGTATGTAAAATGTGTAGAAATGCTTTCAGGCAGAATGAGAAACCTGGCTGACAGAATGGCAGCCTTTCTGTTAAACAAATTAATTTAATTTTTGAATTTTATAAAGATATCCCCACTCTGAATATCCAGAGTTCTCTGCAGCTGTTCATATACGTGATGTATGATGTGTGATTTTTTTTTTTCTTCCATCGGCAATGAATCAAGCTAGAAAACGATCACACGTTTTGCGCTTCCTAAGCATAAACATAAATATTTAAATTGATTTTCAGTTTCCCGTGCAGCCACTAGCTGCTCCATTAATTCAGGACAATAAACAGGAATCATATTTTTTAGTTCATCCTCAAAGTTCTGGAAGAGAAACCATCTCAAGTGGTCCAATAGGATTTAGTGATTTGTTTATGATTCAGCTCCTGCAGCAGTTTTTATTTTTAATCAATGCATTTTTTTTATTATTAATATTCTGTGTTTGTGTGTAGAGTTCAATAATGTTCAGTCAGGTCATCTGGACTTTTTTTTTTTTTTTTTTGCTGAGACGTTTTTGTCCTTCATCCAAAGGACTTCCTCAAACAAACTGAGTCCCACAAGCAGCACACTCCCACAGTGGGGGGGGGGAAAAACAGTTTGCTGATGATAAAATGGCTTCCAGGGCCCGCCCTCTCCCTCCATCTACTCCTTTGAAGCAGCCACGCCAAAGTGGTTCACAACACCAACGTTCATGCTCAGTAATCCAGGAAATAATCCAACAATGTTCAGTCAGGTCATCTGGATTTTTTTTTTCTTTCGCTGAGACGTTTCATCCTGCTCAGATTGAAGAAGTCCTTTGGATGAAGTGACTCAGCAAAAAAAAAAGAAACGTTCAGATGACCTGCCTGAACATTGTTGGATTATTACCTGGATTACTGAGCATGAGCGTTGGTACATGTGTAGAGTTTATTACAAAAAATACTGTTACTAAAAAGCACTTGCATGAAGTCAATGACATTTACAGTTCTTCAAAGACGAATCAATTTACAGAGTTATTTTTTCAAACGACGTATTTGTTCTATTAAATGGATAATAATCAACACGACTTCCTGACACACCACACCTACAATCAAGTTCAGAAAAAAGAAAATAAAAACAAATAAATATGTAAACAAACAAATTCAAAAAAGGCTTTTATTCTGCACAACCATTGATAGATTCTTGAAAATGCAACCTAATCATTCAAACATTCAAAGCATTTGAGCATTTACAGCAGCAACAGATGAGCAAAATATAGAAGGAAAACCTTCGATCAATCAATCAATTAGAGTGTTTGAGTCAGTTATTGGTGGCGTGGAGCATGTGACGCAATATATTCACACCGACAGGTGAGACATGTTTCTGTGTCTGGGTGACGGGTGAACACAGTTCTACAGCACGCCACACCAGCATTGATTTGTTGCACGTTACTATAACTCACATACAAAGAATTAGTCTGGTCTTTTTTACAAAATAATACCATGTTAACAAAGATTTACACAAGTGGGATTTGTACCCAAACTGCAAGAAGCGTATTGGATGATCGTTTGAAGCAGGTCAAATTCACTTCTGGACCTTCACCCAGCTGACTGACATGACATCATCACTCAGAGGTTAAAGGACAGTGATGATGCCGAGCGTTTGAATTCAGGGAAGATTTGACAGAAATAAAAAAGGCAGCTAGCGGCACGTTGGCTCAGTCGGTAGAGCTGTCGCCACTCAGTGAGAAGGTTGCGGGGTCAAATCCCGGTCTGAAACCTTTCTGGGTGGAGTTTGCATGTTCTCTCCGTGCATGTGTGGGTTTTCTCCGGGTATTTCCTCCCACAGACCAATTGCATATTGGGCTGTCTGGTAATTGTCCCTATAGGTGAGAGAGTGAATGGTTGTTTGTCTCTATGTGTCCCTGTGATGGACTGGAGACATGTCCAGGGTGTCCCCTGCCTCTCACACAATGACTGCTGGATATGGGCACCAGTGCCCCCTTGACCCGCAAAGGAAGAGGCAGGTAAAGATAATGGTTGTATGGAATTATTTTTGTTATTTTTTAGCATCAATTCACAACAAATGTCATCTCAGCGCACTTCATAAAAATTCAGCTCTGCTTGTCCATTCAATTCTCTCAGCAGCTACGGCACAACTACATTTAATTCAAAGCGATCAGGTTTTCTTTCTAATCTTGCAATAAACTGTTCAATCTAATCTAATTACTCCATCCATGTAGAGTTTTATTTTCATTTGCCCACTTTTTCTTTCCGGGTCATGAGGGAGTTGAAGCCTGTCCCTGTTGAACATTGTGCAAGAGGCTGGGAACATCCTGGACAATGCAGTGAAATAAAACAAAATCAGTAAACTATGAAGTGCAAATGACAAAATGATAAAGTTTAAAAGAAACCAGTAATTTTTACCAAATATTCATTTTAATTTAGTCCCTCATCCTGAGCTTGCACGAGGCTGGGAGTGTCATGGTTCATGGATGATTGGAGCCCAGAATGCAGAGAGACGTGAGGACTTTGAAGGAACAAATAAAACTTTATCAAACAAAACGATGGTCGTGGCAACAAAATCTAGAAAAGTCAAGAGTGCAAGGAGGAAATCAGAGGACTTGTGGCATGAAAACCAACAATCCACTGCTTTAATGTAGATGGAAACTGTAGAAACTGGAGACCCCTGAGCTGAATCTGGGAACAGGTGAGTGTGAAACTGAACTGAGGAAAAACTAAAATAATTTAACCGCAAGTGAGTGATCACAAAACCTGAACAAACCTTATCCTGAGGTACAAACAGTCCAAACACAGATCATGACAGCGAATGTCATTTGTGTGTAAAAGTAGGAGATGTAGGTGAAATAGGTGTGCATAAAGACGCCGCTCTGCAGCTCGTCAGGATTAATAATTCAAATGTTAGCTGATAACAGGAAACCTTGATGTATAACACATCATCACTACTTGATGATAAGTGGCTGCTTCATCAGTGTGCTGTGCATAAAGATGGAGTCAAAGTACCTTCAAACCACATCAGAGGGCATGAAGGAGGTGGTGCAGTTAAACAGAAAATGTTTCCTTTGTGGCCGGGGTTGCAGATATATGCTGCGTCCTCCTGCTGAGGGGTTTTATAAAGAGCTT